TGAAAAAATCACTCATTTGAAAATCACAAGCACGCATGAGTAATTAACAAAATACAAACATCACGGCACTGACAAACAATAGAATGACTGTTGATATGACTATTATACTCACTTCAGGCTCGTTGATAATTTCTTGATTTCCAGGGTTGTTTGGCGTTGACATTTCGTCCTGAAATATAAATAATATAAAATAATGTTTCTAACAACTTAGAAAGGAGAGGTGGGCCTTGATTTCTTTTGTTCAAACATAAAGCATGAGCTGCAAGCAAACAACAATAGACTGACCAAAGTATAAAACAATTCATACCCACTCCTTTTTCCAGCTATTCCAGCTAAGGTTCATTTCTTCTGGGATATCGTCATCGTCCTAATAAAATATATAAAATGATATAAATGAAAGTAAGAGATAAATTCAATAAATAAATAAATAAATAAATGTTTTACCCATTCCTCCTTCCAACTATCAAAAGACTCATTCATTTCCTCTGGGATATGGTGATCATCGATCGAAGATTGCGATGCCGGCAGAACAGCTTCGTGGCTCATTACCTCCAGCTGCATGCTTTGCAATGGCAATTCGTGGTTGCTGGGCACTATCAACTACAACAAAAAAAGTCAAAAAAATAAAATCCACGTGGAATTGCAAAATGCAGCTTGGCAATTTGAAAGAAGGACGGAACATGAAAAGAGTTGAAATCCATATAAATAGAAGCTCAAAAAGTATGAATTTTATCATTCAACTATGATGTTTCAAAGGACAAATCAGATAGTCCAAGAGGCTATAATCGACGAGAAATGCTGGAAGCATATAACAGAGGATCATTTTGAAAACGGAAGGCATTCACAGTTCTCAAAAAGGCTMACACTCGCCGAGAAAAGACAGCTAATAATAGATGGGTTGGCTGAAGCAAAAAGAATAGGTTTTTGTGGGGACGATTCATGGTCGACAGAAATGTCCTATATCCCTAAACCAAGATTTACAATCAAGAAGGTAGTTCGAAAAAATTTTATAATAGGAGAAAGTGGTGAAACAGAATTCAGATTAGTAATAAGAAGAGATGAATATCCACGACTTATAACAGCGTACCCAACAAAGGAGATCTCGAAGAGAGAAGCAAAAAAACCCGAGGAAGAACAAGAAACCGAGGAAGAACAAGAAAACGAGCACGAACAAGAAAGCGAGCACGAAGAAAACGATCAAGAACAAGAAACCGAGCACGAACAC